AGGTCAGGTCAGGTCACCAAAAAACAAAATATAGAAAAGGGCATGTGCGACACATGTTTTATGGGTCATTTTACTCATAGAATTCAATAGGCACACTCAATAAGTGATATGGACCACCTCTGGATGAATTTCAGGTCGAGGTCAGATCAAGGTCAGGTCAAGTGAGGTCAAATTTTGAAGTTGGTTGTTAAGGCCTAAAAAGGCGTCTATCTGATGCAGTTTTTCACGGCAAATCGAATGGTGCTATTTTTGTTTCCGTACGAGGTATAGAACTTCCAAAAAAGTCATTTTTCAAAAATTTTCTGTGTCGTGACGTCATAAAATTTTGAATAACTCCCACATTTTTGAACCGATTCTTCTCAAACTTGGTATGTAGGTGCACATATACCACTTCTCTGACATATATTCCGGTTTTTTCGATAGACTCAAAATTTTGGATTTTATAATCATTTTCCCAAAAAAGTCAGTTTTTTTAGAAAAAAATAGGCCAAAATCCAACATTTTCAAAAAACCGAGATGGCCATTTGATAGACAAAGTAAAATTACGTATAACCTTTTTTGTTACGTCTCGTTTCCTTTAAAAATGAAGATGTTAGCGGCGTTTGAACTTTTGCCGTTTTTGAAGCGAAAATGGCGAACATGACGTCACTAAAACGTCAATTTCTCAAAAATTTCCCGACGGATTTTGCTCAAATTTTCAGGGAACGTGTCAAATTGATGTAAAAAAGGTACTGAAAGTTTGGCGGCGCTGCGCGCCGCCGTTTTTTAGATATCGCAAAAATTCGCGAGGGGGGGTAAAATTTACCCCCCCCCCCAGCCCCGCGCGGGTTAAGTACAGTTCGGCTAGCCTACGGAGACCAAAACATTATTCCAATGCGGTAAGTTGCCAAATTAGCAAAATAACCTAAACATCAGAGGGCTACTTCTCGACCTTACACGCAAATCTGAAGATCCGTAAAAAAAAAACGGAACAATAGCCACAATTTAGCTTCTTGTCACCTGAAATATTAATACAATTCATCATCCACCTGATTCTTCATTCATTCACATGTCTCTCGCACTTCAAACGCCATCGGGTAGAAGCGCGAGTGCAGTCGAGTCGTGGTCCAGCACGGTACGCGTGTCACTCCGCTGTTTGTAAGTCCCCGCATGCCTGACCGTATCCACCAGACATACCTTCACGGTCACCTGAGCCGGGCGAGGCACGGCACCCACCGCAGTGACCTGCGGTCCAGGGCACGACCACTGCGGTGAAACTGAGACTGTCTGTGCCATGTCAGCGCGCGGTAGAGCGTGGGTCAAAGGCAGCTGACCTTAAAACTTAGTGGGTATATCGTAAACATAAAAGGCTGCGGATCGCTACTGTTGCTGGCTTTGACCATAGATATATTACAGAATTAAATGTAATAAACGATAAATGTAATGAACCCGGAACACTTGCCTAAAAAGAGCTAAATACCACCCATTAGTCCGCCTTCTATCACCGTTCAGTCGCTCCGGGGACCGGTGACAGCTGTGGCGGCTCTCCACCAAGTCACGACCGGGACCATTCACGGTCCGTCACCCGTACCATTCCCGAGCCAAGGCCCGGCCCGGCCCGGCGGCCACCAATGCAGTCCACATTCGACCACCAGCTGTATAGTCAGCTCACCACAGCCCGTGACTGCAGATAATCGATATCGATGTTGAACTCACGAACCGTGACGAGCAGCAGAGAGGGAGACGCCAATCAAAGCGCAATTCATGCTCATTTTTGTGATTCAAGAGCCGGATACAAAGGAGGTGGCCGTCAAGCGTGGCATCATAATGACTGCCTTCGTTAATTGGAAGCTTCGAACTGTGATAAAGTGGCTATTCTGTGACCTGATATTAAAAACGCAGTATTGAGAGACAGAGACCGAAAGCATGCTATCAGATAACCAGACTGTTATATTGAATTAACTACTTAAATGGATTTTAACGTTTTTCTTTTAGTTTTTTTTCCCAGTTCCTTGCCGAAGGAAGTCTATGTCCAAGAACATCTTAGGATGAGGGCTCATGGTCTGGGGCACACCCGTGAAAATTGGCTCGTAAAACGGAGTTGGACAGAACGTGGGAGCCTGCGGCGTGCTTACTTGTGAAATTTTAACGAGAGAGAACATCGAGTAGCTATTGGAACTGGTCTCAGGTATTCCCAGGCTTTTAATTCCTGGCAAAGCTTCAACTGTTTTTTCTTGTCTTTGGATAAATCACTCAGATCAGTTCTCCCGGGGATACAGAACATGGTGAAAAATTAGTGCGATGGGTATGTACGATTTTAACGAATATGTATATGCGATCCGTATGCTTATGCGAACGCGATCATTGATGCTCAAAGGTCCTTCCGACCAGCTGGTGGTATACTTTTCGAACATTTCTGTTCATTACTTCATAAGTGGTCAGATCTGTTCCAATACACTTCTTCAGTTCCTTCTTCAGTAGAAGTCACAAAAGTCCTATCACAGTACCCGGCCGTGGTTGGCTTCACCCGTCTCCACCACACCATCCCGGCCGTGCTTACCATGGTATAGTTCCACCACGGCCATACCAGCAGCCACGGTAGTCCCACCGCACCACCCTCCAGCTGTGGTCAGAGCGCCTCCACGGCGACCAACCCCGCTGTGGTCGGCGGCGAACAGTGAACACCCCTCCCCAGTCTCAGCCGGGTGTGTTTACCTGAGCCGGCCGTTCCCACGCCTGTCAGAACATTTCCGGCGCGTGGTACCCGCAGTGTCGCCGCAGAACCGCTTCCAGTTCGACACCGACGCGTCGCCGGGGTGCGACTTAGTCCGTCCATGTCGTCGTCATGTGCACCGACTGCAACTGGGACACAGACGGGTTCGGTGGCAGACGCACGCGAACATTCGATAACAGGGATGTGAGTTGTAAATCATCTTGCGATGCTTGATACTCTACGGTCACTTGAATGAAAATAATGCCATGCTGACTTGACAATTTTTTTTTAGTTGCAAAAACTGTGTTATTTTGTGTCATTTCTACCAAATTGTATGTAATTTCATTTCAGCTAATTGCTGTCCTTTACTCTTTAGTCGTTTCTACCAACAAAGAATAGACTAGCATTTCTCCGGCAATCCTTCACTAATAGCCACTTTGCCCGCTACTGGTCCACATACCAGGTCACTATTACACCTCCGTCCACCGCGCTGGTCGCTCACCAGGCCACCGTCACAGTCGATCACTCCCTGCCCAAACACCGTCAGCGTGGCACCCGAGACGTCACAGCGGATCACACCACATCTCCGTCCCGTTCACTAACCGTTGCCGGCCCTCGGGGCGCCGCCTCAGGCGAGGACCGTGTCACGCCGATCCGGCGACAACAAGCGGTGGCACCGCGGGCAGTCGGCCACCGGGCCTCCTCAACCGCTATCCAAGCGGAGCGGATCGCGTGGCTAACAACCGCAACCAATAAGAAAACTGGTAAAATGCACGCCTCCTGGCGCGCTGGCCATGTGCCATGCGGAAGAAATAGGATAAAGCTCGAGTGTTTCTAGCGAAGCGTGTTCAATGTGTTTCTTTCCACCTTTGTGCATGCCAGCGCTTACCTGCGTGTGCGTGTGCCTAATTGTGAGTCTGGTGGTGCCGGGCTCGGTAACGGTCTTCCACAAGCCGCAATTATATCCAGAAAAGAATAGGCGGCACTGCATGTTAACGTCCACGGCGGGCGGGGCGACGTCCAATTTATTTCGGTCGTTACAGGGAGTAGGCGGGGCTGAGATTCATGGTGGACACACAAGTATGCTACGAGCCTCGTTAGTTTTACAAACATCGTACATCTGCTGGGATCAGGTCGGGATAAAAAGAGAGCTTCATCGGTACGCATGTAAAATCATTCGGTAACAGGGGAGATAAATGTTAGTGACTGTATTAGATATAATGTAAAATTGGATCGATTTGACCGATTAAAAGCAGAGCAACCAATTGATGATGAGTAGACGCATAACCATCACTGTGAAAAACGTGATAGCTTAACAGGGATATGGGGAGGCAGATTTTATTGTTTTAGGCATCATTAAATTTAGCAGTAAAGACGTTGTCTTGCATTCCAGATCTTAGCTGCGGAGATCGGTAAATGGAACACGAAAATTGAATGAAGATTTTATCAACCGACAAACCACACTTGCAATGTTGAACTACTCGTAGACCCTACACTGAAAACAATTTAACCCAAGGCTGGCGAGTAAACCGGTGTTTTACGGGTACCCCTATCCGCAACCGTTTTTAACCACCCTCCCAGGAGTAGTGCTAGGTCCCATTGCGGTGTAGTCGTACTTGCTCTGAGCGGATATAACCGCTGTCAGCGAACAAGTCCGCTGAGAGCAGGGACGACTACACTGCAATGGGACATTACTGTACTCCTGGGAGGGTGGTTAAAAATGGTTGCGGTTAGGGGTACCTGCAAAACACCGGCTTATTCGCGGGTCTTGGGTTAAATTGTTTTCAGTGTAGGCAGTTGGCGTCTATAAATTAGAACTACACGTGTTCTCAAAAGCATTGTCACAAACTTATCTCTCAGCATGACCGTGATTAACGTTCAGCCGCGGTCTCATTGCTCTCCCTGATTACCACGCAAGCCCTCAATTTTGCCAGATTTCACGTCGGCATTGCACAGTGACAGGATCGTCTCATGCGAGCTACTTTTACAGTAATTAGACCGAGATGTCGGTAACTCAAACAGCCGTTTCGCCATGACTCGGGAGCACCACTTTGCATTGCCAACTCCATGGGGATGGTGAAATGCGTTACAAGTAAATCAGACAGTGGTGCCGCCGGTGAAAAAAGGAAACATGGATTGGACGGCGAGAGATGAGCCAGTTGCAATCAGCAACGATATGTCTTAGAGCCGAAGAAATGTTGACTCTCACCTATCTGTAGGCAGGAGGTCGAGGAGAGTGCTGTCGGGTCGGTCTCGGTCTCGTAACAATGTGTCACGGCTAGTGACCTGCCGTGTCCCGGTGCGTGACATGGAGGTTAGGGTGTCGAGACACGGAGCACCGAACGATGACGACTGGGTCGCTTAAAAACTATACCTGGCAAAGCTTTTTCATGCATAAGCAGAATGCTGTTCCAGAAAATGATAATGAACCATAACTATTTTGTTAAAAAAAATTTTCTGGTATGAATATTTTCTTGTAGCCGTTTTCGTTATTAACACCCATTAATGCCGCTTGGGTCATATATGACCCAAAAGCAACATCTTAACATTTTTTCTAAATGGAGGAAAGTGGCACTTTGAGGAACTTGTGCGTGTGTTTTGTTGGATTTGTGGGTTCAGCGACGAGCGTCGGAGCCGTATAAAACTCGTGTGAGCTCGTCCACTGAAGTTTCTGGAGCCAAAGACGACGGGACTGCACAGCCGCCGGTCACTGGCAATGGCGCGCCGTCCCAAAAAGTAATATTATGTTATGTTTGCACTTTACTATCTATTGAATGATCGTCCACCTGGCATCTAAATTTGTCTGAAAAAGACATGATGTATATTTTTGCCCTTCTTGTCGCCATCGGATAACTTTTTTTCCTCGATAAATTTTTCTCGATAAAGAATTTTTTTCCTCGATACGATTATTTATTTCTGGGGGTTGTGATCAGATCACAGTGGCGGATCCAAAGGAGGGGGGGGGGTCATATGGGTCACTCATGACCTCCCCTGGGACCCGGGGGCACCACCGACCTATCAGGGGCACCACAGGCCTAGTGTTGCGATGTTTGGATATCATGAGCGGACCGGTTGTCCGGGGCCGTGACGCGGGGCGGGCCGGCGACTCGGCCGGCCGAGGGACACCACGGGCCTGTCAGGGGTACCACAGGCTTGTTAGGGGCACCACAGGCCTGCAGGAGCACCATCGGCCTAGGAAGAGCACCACAGGTCTGTCAGGGGGCACCACAGACCTGCCAGGGGCACCAGCCAGAGGCCTGCCAGGGGCACCATCGACCTCACAGGGGCACCACCAGCCTCGCACGTGCACCTTGGGCTTGTAAAGGGCTCCACGGGCCTGTCGGGAGCACCACTTCAGGCTTGTCAGGGGCACCACAGTCCTGCCAGGACCCAGGGGCACCAGCGGCCTAGCAGGAGCACCACAGGCCCGCCAGGGGCACCACAGGCCTGCCAGGGGCACCACAAACCTAGCAATGGCACCACAGACCTGTCGGGGCTCCACAAGCCTGTCAGGGGCACCTCAGGCTTGTCAGGGCCCAGGGGCACCACAGTCCTTCCAGGGACACCACAGGCCCGTCAGGCCTATGGTGTCCCCTCTGGAGCACCAGAGGCCTAACAGGGGCACCACAGGCCTGCCAGCGGCACCAACGGCCTCGTCAATGAGACGTTGCAAAGCATTGCAATGCAGTGCCTCTTAATATTGTTTGGCTGAGACCGCTATACAGTATACATACACAATAAGGTATCTAGCTAAATCAGTTTTCGTGATAACTCCTTATTTGTGACTATGCCAATGCCGGTTGGGTCATTTATGACCCATACTTATAACTTGAGAACCGATGGAACAATTTTTTTTAAGCTTGCACAGTTTTCTTACTGGGACCCTTGTGGCTAACATTTGTTAAGGACAACTAAAGAATCAAAAAATAAAAATTCCGGCATTTAACTGCTGTCGTAACGTTAGCATTAAATTGTCTAAACGAATTCCTTACCGGCAACTTGCGAGAAACCGTTTAACGCGTTCACTTTATTACATTCCTCCACAATTTTCAGGCACTTTCAGATCCATTTTCCGTTTCTGTTCCCGGTTCATTTTTCGTCCAGCTGTGTCTCATGTGTCTGCGTTCCACCTGTTGTCCCGGTGCTGTCTCATCCCCAGCTACAGTGGGATTTTCGGCACCTGGCTTATGGAGCGCATCTGCCGCCTCCCGAGTCTCAAGTAACGGGGCAGGGTCCGGTCGTCTCTCGCCAGCTTCTTAGTAGTCTACACATAGTGGGACGCCTAGGGATGCATGTCTCCGGAGCGTTTACTGGCTGTTTCACACATTGTCTCCTGTCTCCAGATGGTTCAACATTTCCTCTGGCTGGTCTCTCTCCTGACCGTCGCTGGATTTGGAGGAGCGGCGGCAGCGGCGGCGACGGAGCTTCAGTCGCCGGTGGCTGACCTCAGCGTTACCACCGACTACCACAGCGCTGACATCAGCTGGAGACACAGCGGCTCCGGCAGGCCCTTCGGCTTCAGCGTCGGCTACTGCGAGCTGCAGGCCTGGGGCGCTAACCGTTGCAAGTCCAAGGTTGGTGAACCCTATCCTCTCGGAACAATGTGCTGATTAGAATTTTACTCATGCACTCCAAAAGCTATAATGTTGATATGTTAGCCGTTGCAACGAAGTCTTAAAATCACTTGTACCCGATCCCTTTAGCCCGACGTGATACCGCGTGACCCCAGGTGACCGACACTGACCCAACGTGACTGACGTAACGCGGCATTACCTCGTATGATCCCAATGACCCGGCATCACCTGTCGTGACCCTGCAGATCGTCCAGTGGCGTCCAGAGCAGAAGGACGGCTCGACTCCGTACCGGGTCACCATTGGTGGCCTAAGGATGGACACGGAGTACGAGTTTACCGTCACACCGCTGGACCGAAGGATGCACAAGGAAAGGGAGCAGAGTCGGCAGATGGAAGCGCGCACCAAGGCCTGTGAGTGAACGTGGAAAAGGGGTCTTCGAAGAAGCTATGTAGGGCCAGCAGACGTTTAATTCCCTGCATTTGCTGAGTTCCACAGTTTAGCTGACGGTCAAAATTAGATAGCTGATATTTAGACGATCGATCATGTCTTCTTGTGGAGAACGATACGGGATACATTTACGCACAGACATGAGCCAAGCTCAATTTCCGTCTCCAACCTTCTCCATCACGGAGAGCACGGGGAAGAGAAGCTTTGTGCCGGCGCCGTTCTAATTGGTAATTCTCGCGGGGTGAACGGTCGGCTTTAAAGCGACTCATTTGTCTTGTCACGTGGCCCAAAGGGACCATGTGGCTCGATAATCCGAGCCCGCCTGTCTGACAAGAGCATCTCTGCTGAAACCGGACCGGTACTCGACAGAGACCAATCACTCTGGACAAAGACTGGCCATATGGCGCTGTCTGCCGCTCTCCCTCGTGCCTAAACTACGGGGCAGTGGATATGTGAACGTTTTATCCCCAGGTTACCTAAGGTCAGGTCAACTGGAGCTAAGTGACCGTAGAACATGCGGTAGGCTGTGAATATAAATGGAACGACATTGCGAAGAATAGAAAAAAAAAATCAGGAGGCCCAGTAACTAAGCGTAAATTACGATAACCATGAACACGAGATAACGCGCGTATTTAGGTAAGCAGGAAGATATTTTCAGTATCCCACTTTTTTCAATGTTAGGTATAAAAACATATGGAAACATCCGTCAGCGATAAGTTACATACTAACTATTCAATCACTAAATTCCACCCATCTTCACCTTTTTCACCTATTCTTCCTCCCCAGTCTCGGCGACCACGCGATGTCTGGGCGGCGCCAGTGAGGTGACGGTCCACACCGGCCCCCACTTCGCCGGCCGTCTATCCGTCGAGGACGACCCCCGAGAGGAGTGTGGCGTACAGGGCGATCCTGACAGTGATCGGCAGGAGTATGTGCTGCGGATCGATCATGGAACTTGTCGAACGCAGAGGTCGAATTCGGAGGTGAGGTGATGAAAGGTTGGAGAAGAGTTAGGGTGAAAAGAGACAATTGGCATGTTAAGAGGCGGAGATGTTATGAAGGGTGTGAATAGAAAGGTGGGAAGGAAGATGAGGTGAAGTGGGAGAATTGGAGGGTGGGAGGGAACTAGGGAGCAATAAATGAATTGGGTGAGTCGATGTGGTTTCTGTTTCGTTCAATAACACAATAGTCTTTGAGCACGCTATTGTCATGCTTTTAACACGTTTTCTGCACATTTTTTTTTCGGCAGGTTCGAACGTTTGTGATGGTCCAAGAGCAGGATACAATTCAAACGCACAGCACCCGTCGGTTCCTCGTTATATGCAATTACGAATCGGAATCGTTCACCGTCAGTGCTGGGTAAGTAAAAGCTGAAAGAGAATGAAAGGAGAGAGAGAGAGAGAGAGAGAGAGAGAGAGAGAGAGAGAGAGAGAGAGAGAGAGAGAGAGAGAGAGAGAGAGAGAGAGAGAGAGAGAGAGGAGGGAGGGAGGGAGAGAGAGTGAGAGAGGGAGGGAGGGAGAAGCGAGCATGCTGCAACGCATAAATGAAACACCGCTCATTGTCACCCTCTGTCTTACTGCACCGTCTCTGCTGCAGGGTGAACCTGCCCCGCGTCGGACACCACTCAGCAGTCGGCTCTCACGTCCAAGAGGTCTCCCTGGACCCCGAACCGGAGCTGGCGTCACGTGATCCGCCCCGGCTGCTGGAGGTCACGTCACGTGAGGGCCGCCAGCTGATTGTGGCTGCTGACGGACCTCCGGCCGCCGCTAGCCGGGTGGCGCCGCTACGAGAGAGGAACGGCACAGGTATGGGATGAAATGGGACGGGGAGAGAGGGGGACAGTTAGAGGGAAGCGGGTATCAAATGCTAGTTCATGCATCGAACGATTTTAAGGCACATGGACAATAAGGAAAGAAGTTAACAGGCTGACATAATGTGCGAGGTCCGCTGTGTCGTTTCTATTCGCTCATTTCAGTACTGGGGTCTTTCCTGGATTCATACTTTATTTTCCGTTAACTAGCAGTAATTCTGTCGTTTATTAACCCCTACCCTAACCCGCACCTTCTCCTTCAGGTGGCGGCTGGGCGCAGCTGGTCCTCCTGATGGTGGTGGTCGCAGCCGTAGTGTTCGGTGTGGCCATCGGTGCCATTTTCTCCCGACGTGCGGCATTGAGGCGACGTCACAGCAGCGCCCACTCATCCGGCGAGCCCTCCAGTGACACCAGCTCCAGCTCCAGCTCCAGCACCAGCTCCAGCTCTAGCTCCAGCTCCAGTGATGATAGGAGAGCTGCGAGACTGCCTCTAGAGCTGCGGAGAGACGGCGCTCGTTCCACTCACGGCAGGCTGACAATGCCGGGTGGAGACTACCCGAGCGTTACTTGCTAGCAGCTGGATGAACTAGAGGTTCAGTAATTCACCACCGAAGTGAGCGTGGCGCTGGTGTATCGGGACAGGGATAGAGTTGTCGTGAGTCTGGTAGAGAGCCTGGATGAAACGCAGTGAGGTATGATTTTCTCAGCGAAACCATGGTATGTCTGCCTAGTGGATTCGCTGTGTTTGTAGATGTTTGTTGGATGCTGCGTGGTTGATGCTAATGTTGTTGAGACGACGCGAATGTTTGCACGGTGCGACTAGTGATAAAGTTCTCCATCCTTCTGTGGTCGACTTAGGCAAATGGTGTAGCCAGTGACATCGAGAGGTCTTCGTTGAGATTAGTCTGAGCTGAAGCTACGATCGTCCCCAGGAATACCGCTACAGAGGTGCAGTAAAAGTGCTTGCGACATGTGAGCGCAGTTAGCGTACCTGTTGTTGTTGTTGTTGTTCCTCCCGGTCACCGCCGAGGCGGTGACGGAGCCACGCGGCTCTTGTGGGCCGCGTAGCCGGCGGCCAAGGCCGCCACCACGTCGTCGCGCTGTACGTCTCGGGCCGTGCCTGTGATGTTACCCAGCGCTTGGAGGCGGGGGCCGAACAGGCACGGGCACTCCAGTAGTACGTGCGCCGGGGTGTCCGCGGCCTCGCCACAGACGAGACATCGGCCCGCCGGGCATGTGATGTCGTTGCACTGAGCGCACTCGGGTGTCGGTCTGCGCCCAATGCGGTGGAGATATTGTTCCGACCGTCCCCAGTGTCCCGATCGGAGTTGATGTATGTCGATGGCCTCCTCCCTGGTAGCGGCTCGGACCGGGTCGGGGGCGCGGTCCGCCATGACGTCTCGGTACCAGCCCGCAGGCCGGCTCGCTCGCCACTCCCTGCCGGCGACCCGCGCAGCAGCCCGCGTGAGGGTGCGGGCGTCGACCGGCGTCGTCCGCTGGGACATCCCGGCCGCCTCCTTCGCTAATGCGTCCGCCCTCTCATTACCCGGGAGCCCGCAGTGAGCCGGTACCCATTGGAGGTGAATTGAGCTGTTGCTTGCTTGTAGGCGCAGCAGTTGGGTCCACACACTGGCACCCAGTGTTGTGGTCTGGGCCGAGGCGCCTGCAGCCAGCGTTAGCAGGGCCGCCCTGGAGTCCAGGCAGGCGACCACCGGCAGGCCCGCGCTTCTCGGCAGTTCAGCGACTGCCTCCAGCGCTGCCAGCAGCGCGGCGAGCTCCGCGCGCGTGCTGGAGCACAGGCGGCCAGCAGGGACCCTCAGCTCCCAGTCATCTTCGGTTGGGGTGTCCGCGTACCTTGTAGGTATGTCCGTCTTTTTCTTATGTCAACATAGCCCTCTTAACATGTCCGTTTAATAGTGATATGTGCAGGAAGTTAAGTGTTGTCAAAACCGAGCCGTAATAAAAGTTGAAAGATATAAGAGCCAATGTTCATTGTTGAATGTAAAAAGTAGAACGCCGAACTAGCCAAGTGAATGAACTCTCAACTATCGATGGAGGAAAGCAAAGAAAAAGCGAGGGCGATTTCAACCCTGATCGCAATGGCAGTGAGCACTGAGCATGTTCGGCTTATTTAGTAGATTAGGCAGTCGGCATGCGAAAATAAATATCAGCACCTGTAAGCATTGGCACTATAAGTTTCACGTTCGTAGCTCATCAGACTTCAGAGATATACCAACACAAAATGTAAAGGGGGAGGGGCAGCTTTACGCCCCCCCCCCCCCCCAGCGTCTCGTAGGTTAATGACGGGATGGATCTATCTGATGTAGAAAAACGCTCGTCGATCGATCGAGTGGTTGCCGAGACATACATAATACATTATGCATAGGTAATTATATATGCGGTGCTTCTCAAATGCATCAACTAACCGTGGGCCGGTTGAGCCGCTCATATTGAAATTTTGCCCACAGATATACTCCTCCTGCTCAAAACAGCATCAAACTCCTTTGTTTTTAAAAGATGCTTCCTGAACTAATTCACGAGCTGGAAGGTCATTGAAAAATAACGCGCTTTCGGAAAATGTTTCGAAATGTGCGCGTAAAAACAACGATATTTGCATAATATAAAATAATACATACATTTTTGATAATGTAAAATAATAAAACATAATGATCTTATTTTGTAAAAAGTAGTTAAAAACCAATCAAATATGCTTAGACGAATATCAGTTCACGTGAGAGCATTCGCCTGTTTCAATAACACGGACACTATGGTGGAGATGTTCTGCACCGTGTCTGTCACACTCAGACGAACTCAGCCGCCAATTACAGATTAATTCTTAACTGCGAGCATTTTTACTTTTAACCCGCATAAATTCTAAATTATTTAATTACCTTATGTGGTTATCCATAATAAGCTAAAATTTGTTACCAATTTTATCGAAATGGAGGAGCGTCCGTCAAAGCTACAGATTTCAGTGAGTTCCATCAAGGAATTTGATCTGACAGAGGGAGAAATTAAAGCAGTCAAAAAGGAAAGCGAACTAAGGCGCAAGTCGGCCACTTCTACTGCGCTAAAAACGACCAGCCGAGATAATGTGCCAACAAAAGACCAGCAGAGCGCTGCACCAGAAAGTGACGTTAAAAGAACAGTGTCACTCTCAGCATCAAAGAAGGAATTTAAAACCAGTAAAACGGCTGTTCAGAAAAGTAATTCATCAGAGGCTGCACAGAAAAAGTCATCGCTTTCCACAGTTCCGGCTGCAAAGAAGAGATCTTCTTCCGTTGAGCAACACGCAAAAACGCAGTCACAGGTAAAGCTGGGAGACGGCAAAAAAGCATCGTCAGCAGAAAAGGTGACATCACGTCAGTCAGTAACTAAACAAAGGTCTAATTCTATCGAAAAGACTAAAACAAATTCGCAGGTCAAGCTAAAGGAAAGCAATTCGAAACAAGGCATAATAGTAAAAGTCAGCGAATCTGATAACCGATTTAAAAACCAGTCACAAGAGAAAGTCACTTTAAGTGAGTCGGCAGTCAAAAAAAGGTCGTCTTCAGCTGACCAAAACAACCGCAATTCGTCGAAAACTGGCCTAAAAGATACAACTTCAAAACCAGTGATTCAAGTTAACAAGAGCTCTACTGGTAACACATCCAAAGAGCCTTCAAAGAAGTCAAAATCGGCGGGTGCCGAGTCAAGAAAGGAAAATGCAAACGACACTCGCAAGCAAAACACAAGCCTGAGCGCCCCTGTCGGTAAACGGCAAAGCCAAGGCGCCATTGGCTTCACCAACCTCTTCCCACCGGGCACGACTGCTCTTACACCATCTTCCCTTGCAGTTAAGCCGGCCAAGTCCCGACAGGGCAGTGACCGGAGGCCATCCCACGTCCACGCCGGCGCCTCCAGTTCAGGAGGTCCGCAGCACGCCGCGTCCAAACATTCCGAACAAGCCGACCACGGTCATGGCGGCACACAGCATTCGCCAAGCGCCGGGCGCCAGCACCGCGAGGTTGTCTTTGTCCCGGACGTGACGCCTTTCTCAGACACACCGTTCCCCTTTGAGCGGTCGGACAGTATCAACAAGGCGGACTCTGGCTGGCTTCAGCAGGCGCTGGATACCCCGACACCCTGGGGCGGCATGGGCAACGAGGTGACGGCTGCGCTGCTGGCCACCTCCAGCGGCGCTATGCTGAAACCTCGACGATCCTCCTCGGTGACCCCTGCCCCAAAACAGCAGCCGTCTCTGAAGGAGAATCGTGGGACGTCGAAAGGAGCACATGCCAAACGCTCACTGGACAAACACAAAAGCATCACCGTAGACGAGGAGCCACAGTGTTTGTCTCTTTCGATGGCACGAGCAGTCACCGATGAAAAGAAGCGCAGTTTCTTCACAGTCCTGGACGACGAGACTTTAGAGAAGCTCCAGGAGAGAGCTGAAGAGCTGAAGAAGGAAGAAGAGGTACAGGCTCTCGCTGCTGCGGAAGAGGCGGCGTCACGTGCCCATCTACAAGAACGAGCCAGCGTAAGTACCATCAACGCGAAACGTACTGCGTCTGGGAGACGTGTGTCGTCCGGAACCAGCCTTTCTGCCGGAGGGAGGGCGAAGAAAAACGGAGAGGGAAGTGCACAAAGTAAGATGAGTGGTGAGGATATTTCGAACGTTGGCTCCAGCGACCAACAGACAAGGCTTATAACGCTGGAGAATCCCTTCAAGAAGCCCAAGAAAAACAAAGAAGACGAAGAAGGTGACATGAACAACATCTATGCGACAGCTCTTCTCGATAAGTGGATGGCACAAGGCAAGCACGAAAACAAAGCCCCAGCTGGTAAGAACACAAAGCAGGCCGATGCCAAATCAAAAAAGATCGGGTTCCTCAAGCAGCTGCTTCAAGGAGCAAAGAAGCAGCCAACCAACGCTAAGGAGAAAGTGCTTCACACGCTTACCGAAAAGAAGATAAACCTGCTGATTCCTCAGTCACTGCCGGATCCTCGGGTTATCGACCCGGCCGATCAGGTGCCGGTAGTGGGCGTGTCACCGATTGACGCCGTGCCGGACAGCGAGGCCGGCCACAGCCAGGGCACCGACTCCAGGCGCATACAGGAGGAGTTCTTCGCATCGGTCGACACGTACCGCACCAGCATCGCGCACGCGAGACAGCGCGTCGCCCACCGGCAGGGTCAGGTCGCGACCTCCGAGAAGACCGCTCCCGCCCACTACGTCAAACAGGCGGCTGGCACCAGCACAGATCCGATCGAGGATACTGAGAAGAAGCCACCGAAGACTGGAGAGGGAGAGGAAGGAGAAGAGGCGGACGGTGTTGCTGAAGACATGGAGGTCACTCTCGCTGACATTCTTCCAGATGAAGAGGCGGCTCGCCTGGAGTGGCGTGGGTCCTCCTCGTCCGAGGTGACCCTCGTGGGATCTGATGGGACCGTGTCTCGCCGCAGGAAGTCATCTCTGCGCAGAAAGAAGCGGGCGTCTAGCGCCGAAAAGTACCAGAAGTGGAAGAGAAAAACGTCCACCAAGGCGTACGTCGAGTACCAGAGAAGGACGGACCCGCGTTTTCACGTTGATGAGGACCAGACGTCACACTCGACCTCGCTGTCATGTAAGTACATAGTAAGCTGAGGCAGCCCTCTAGTAAAAGAGCACATTTAATACCATACGTCCTTTTCCATTTGGAGAAGCTGAAAAAGTTAGTGCTCGTATCAAACAAAGGACCCGAAATTACTCTGGAGCCAAATAGATCCCCAAAGCTTATGTATTTAAACTTCACTATGTTTACCAGAAAGCACGTTTAGCTGACCGATAGGCTAATTTGAGCCGGTTTCACCACGACCTTGCCTAAGCATGCTGTCCCGTCCCTTTCCATGTCGTCAGTGTACCCGGTCAGCAGTACTGAGAGTACCGCGGTGGGAGGACGGGCGTCATGGAGCGACATCAGCTCTGTTCAGACGGCCCCCGAGCCAGGTACGTACCTACCCGGTCAGCAGTACTGAGAGTACCGCGGTGGGAGGACGGGCGTCATGGAGCGACATCAGCTCCGTTCAGACGGCCCCCGAGCCAGGTACGTACCCGGTCAGCAGTAGTGATGTCAATTACAGAAAATCGGAATACCGATACCAAACCAAATACCAACTAAAACCGTGGGGAAATACCGAAACCGAACCAACTTTGAAAGATGAGGGAAATACCAACTTTTTACCAATTTCTTAGCCTCTTATATTATTATTATTATTATTATTGTTTATTCAGCATCGTCATGCGACAAAAAGATACATACCCCCCCCCCCCACCCACCCACACACACAGTTAATCAGCACTCAGGAGGTTAGTAGTCTTAACAGGCGCCGCGAGGCCTGACAGTTGCTTGCCAAAACCATCTTCAAACTGTCTATAAGACCACTTTCTTGGAGTGGTGCCCGGACTATGTCGTGATCGACGTACCCAGCAGCGATGTGCATGATAGCGCCGAAGTTCCCACCACACAGATTATATACGTGGCCAATAAACGACCCATCCAACTGCTCGGGGTACGTAGCAAGTCTGGCCAGTCCAGTGACGTAGGCTTGGCGAAGACGGTGGTCAGCGCGGAAAGCATTACGGAATGCGCGGAGGGCATCACCTCGCAGCACCTCACCGATGCGAGGCACCCCAGCAGCAATCAAAAGAGCCGTATGGTGCGCAGAACGCGGTAGACCCAGCGCTGCCTTGATCAGCGAAGCCTGTCGCGAGTCTAGACGCTCAATGTCGGCGGAACTGAGGGGAGCCGTCTCACAGCCGAAGATTAGTGCCGGCAGCACTACTGTCTTCCAGAGGAAGATTTTGTCAGCAGCAGTCAGGCGGTTGGTGAAATTGCCCAGGGGTGTGAGGCCATAGAATGATGCACAAGCGCGCCTGATGCGCTGAGCCACGTGGCTGTCTGTGCTGAGGTTGTCATCAAGCACCGTACCGAGGTGCTCGGTCGTCTGCCGGATCTGCAGCTGCTGTCTTGACAGTGTCCACCTCGGTGTGCTCGTGAATAGTTCCTGTCCAAATATAATACAATGGCTCTTGGTTTTTCCCGGTTCAGGGTGAACGAAGTCGAGGCGCCAAGTAGCCGCGAATTCTCCCACCATCTGCAGCATTGCACCGAGGTCACGCGCGTTCGCAGATATAAGGAGAATATCGTCAGCGTAGCAGATAGCGGGTACGTGCTGGCTGTGTAGATATGCTCCACGACCGCTGCGATCTAGGACCTCAATAAGAGGTAAGAGGAAGATGTTTGCAAGGGTTGGCGATAAGATGGCCCCTTGTCTGGTGCCCCTGCAGACCAGGAACGCTTCAGATGTGGCGCCACCAAAAGTCACCCTTGCAGAGAGGTGGCGGTACCAGGTGACCATGAGGCACCAGCAGTAGTCGCTAAGATAATCTTCCAGACGGAAGAACAGACCGTCATGCCATATTCGGTCAAAGCATTTCCTCGCGTCAAGGTTTGCGACAAAAACAGGAAGACCCCTGGCTCGATTCTGCTGTATGGTCTCTCCAGCCAACAGAGACGCTTGCATGGTGCCCCGATTGGAGATAAAACCAAACTGCAGATGATGAGGTTCAAATGAGGCGTTCAGTTCGTCTAGCACTAACAGCTCGAGCAGCTTAGATGCGCAGGTTGTGATTGAAATCGGTCGATAGTTGTCCAAGCAGTTAGGGTCCGATTGAGATTTCTTCAACACGGGTACAAAACGCTGTCAGCGAAGGTAGCTGGCACGCTACACGTGGACAGGCAGACAGAGAGAAGGTGCGCCAGAGCTGACAGGAGACAAGGCGACTGACCATAGAGAAGGTGCTCCGCCGTGATGCCGTCTATACCAGGTGCCTTCCCACGCTGTAACCGGTGAATGAGGCCTGCTACTTGTCCAGCTGAAACCGTTCTTTCGGATGCATCGTTATACATTAGTAAGGGTTCATAATACCAACAAAATACCAAACACATTAGGATTGAAATACCAAATACCAAGTTGGTATCGGTTTGGTATCGGTATACCAAAAAGTTGGTATCCGATTGACATCTCTGGTCAGCAGTACTGAGAGTACCGCGGTTGGAGGACGGTCGTCATGGAGCGACATCAGCTCAGTTCAGACGGCCCCCGATCCAGGTGCGTAGCATTGTAGGTATACAGAACAACGCTCAACGGTAAGGCATCGCAAAGAAAATAAAAAATACAAGGTTGCATATTACGAGTAAAATCAATTTCTTAAAAGGGTTGAATTGCTGGAAAACATAATTAAAAGATACATAATCGAGCAAAAATCGTTTTTCGCTGCTTCAGGCGAATGTGCTTTTCTTTTATTGTTGTCATCAACTATCGAAACAAAATTTTATGGGATGAGGCAACAGGTGAAACTCTTAAATGTACATTAGACTGTGACGTTTAAAAAATGTCAATGAAGCATAAGCATTTGATAATGAATCGTGACCGGTTATAACGTTTATTTGTAACGTTTATTTGTATTTTTTTCAGCTCCTGATGGTAGTTCACCGGGACGGTACGTAGCATTTTAATCTCATTTTGCAATACTGATTTAGCTCGCAATAGGTGCATACGCATCTCTACTTACATACTGCATCTCTACATTCTTTACTCATTAGAGTACTTCAGCTCACCCTGTCTCCTCTAACCCACGTCTGGCTTCTCACGCTTCCTGTCTCGGTCTTACCAGCGTAACCAGATCGACAGCGACGGAGGAGCAGGGCCGCACTGAAGGCACCCAGACCAGCTCCACCGAGTACCTGCTGCTCGATCGCCAGTCCTGCCTGGTGAAGGTGCTGGCTGCTCTACAGAGGCTCAACACTGACGAGGCGCTTCAGGTATGAGGAGACGTCCTTCACAATCACAATCCGAGATGGCGGCAAATATGAATATCCATATATTCATATCCATATATTCAACGAGATGTCATAATGCTAAGACTACGTGAAGGGAGGAAAAGAGCGCAAACTATTTAATACTTTCGTAGAATAAGAATTGTTAACGAGTTTTTAAATTTTAACGTTTTGTGTCATTCTTAAAAAATGAGCGTTAACTTTATCTGGGCTAGATACCTTCAATGAAACAATAATTTCGGAAGGTGTGATGTAGATAAATCGTGTGCCTTTATTGATGACGTTAATTGTGCATTTTTATTTATGATTACCAGGTAGCTCGCATTTTGCGCAGAAGTCTGGACGAAGACCGAGTGTATGAAGACGTAAACGTCAAACAAATTTTGGAGCCGAAGAGATCTTCCATCGACGCATCAAATAAACCTCTAACGAGAGTGGAATCTGAAAAGGTAAGTCAGCAGTGGCAAAAGACATTCAATAATTTGTCGGTATGTTCTTGCTCAAAAGTACAAAAGGGCATTTTCGCATTCCTTATTTGACGTTTTATGTTGATCGATTCTTTTGGTACCTAGACAATCGACTTTTTCTTATCCCTCTTTCTTTAGTCACTTCTCTTCCCTCTGTCCGTTGCAGGTGGTGGCGAAGGGCAGCCCGTCCCGCAGCGGCGCCATCCCGGAGATGATCTCTGACCAGGACTATGACGAGCTGACGCGCATCGTCTCACAAATAGATCTGATGGTGCGCTCCAAACTGCGCATCACCGCCGCCCCGTACTCGCTCATCTACGAGACGCTCATCAACTACCACCTGGAGATCACGCAGGACTACTCGCCCTCCGTGGCCGTGTTCAACTACTACCTCACCGAACAGGTGGGTTGGCGGTGTCTCGCGGAACAGAGAAACACTAAACACATCCCGCATCGTGAAAGTTGCGCAGAAGTTGAAAGTTGCACATCCCCGATCCCGCATGCTGCACCGCAACAATTGCAGCGGCTCCAAAGAGGGAATTAGTCAAATAGAAAACGTGCACGTCACGACGTAACCAATCACGTCGTGCTATAAAAAGGCAAATGAAAAGCACATAGATTATATTCTAAAACGGTCAACACGATCTTACGTTACGGTGCCTTTACAAAACAAAATCAAACTTTTTACGATGTTGCTGATACCGATCTTTGTTTCATTCCACTCTTCGCAGGGTCACCCGCTGTTCGACGACACGAGCGGCTTCTTCCGGCCGACGATCCTGCAGGTGCCCCGTGAGTCGCTCTACCCGCGACTGTACGCCCACAGGCCGTACGAAGAACCTCGAGAATTGCCTGCGGGAGGACGCCTTCTGGATCTGCAGCTGCTGCTGGGAGAGCTGCTCATCTGCCCGTTCTGCGGACATGACGTGGTCTGGGGACAGCACGAAATGTGTGTGAGTGTGCCTGTGTGGGTGCACGAAGTGAAGAAACTAATAATCGGGATGTAGGCGTGAACTGTCAAGGACAATATGGCAGAGAGTTTCGCAGCGTTTTTCATATTTTACGATGAAGCATGTCCTTTGTTTTGACAGTCTGTGTTATTCCTCCACCACGTCGAAGTACTCGTATATAAGCTTCCGGGAATAACCAGAGCTCCTGTCCACCCTCCTATTCCGTTGCCTTTCAGGTGGAGTTTTGTTGCTATTCGTTCGCCGAGGTCATCTCCCGTGAGTACGAGGACGACCTGGGTCGGATCCGGCGCCAGGCGGCTCTGCGCGGACGTCGCGCTGCCATCGGGGAGCTCGAGGAAGACTCGGAGCTGCTGGAGGCAGCCCTCAGCGCGGCCGCTTCCGATCAGCAGCCGCCCGCCAAGATATCATGTCTCGTGGAAAAACGTACGCGGCTTCGCGCACTAGGACGTTATGGACAGGACGGCACTGCTACTGGAAAGGCGCCCCACCTGCTGCCGTTTGATATGGACATGGTGAAGAAGGGTGAGTGAGGACTTGGGAACCCAGCTGTGTGATGATCTATTTCACGCTGTTGGGTCTAGTATCCTTTGAAACACGGTCAAATATCTAGCGAGGTGATTTTTATGTGAGGATGTGTGAAATACTTTTGGTATCGATTGTTTCACGTCAGGTAGGTACTAAAGGACTAATAGACTCGGTTTTTGATCCATCATGTATTTCCTTGGCAGCCTCAGCTGCGAAGGCTGGTGAGGCAAAACAGAGCAAGCACAAGTCCCACAGGAGTCGCAGAAAGTCCAGCGGTCCTGCCGACGAAGCCGGTAGGAGATCCGCCACCCGGCGCCGGAGCCAGAGACACGCCAGCGAGCCGAGCAAGGGCTCGCGCACGAAGAGATCCTCGAGACTGGACGGCGCCGCCGCGGGAGACGAGTCGCCCCCCACCGGCAGGCGCGCCTCGCGCAACAAGAAGAGGCGCACGACGAGGCGGGACATGATGCACGAGGTGGAGAAGCTGGAGAGGAAGATGGGTCGCCGTCTGACACAGGATGAGCTGGAGGCGGTGATGGAGGGTGACAGCGTGATGCAGTCGGACGCACGAGGGCTCAGTATCACCGCCGGAGGCATCGAGGAGAAACTGGACGTCACCAGCATGGAGAACATACCCGATCGGGTGAGCTGGCCGGGTTTTCATGGAAGTGGATGCAAAGTATGACGGAGAGACCGAGGGATAGCTAGGAGGAATGAAAAGAGGGATATTCAGGAACAATGAGAGAAAGTGCGTCATTTTTATTGCGCATTACCTACTGAGTTTGAACTGGGGAAGTCGATCATCATTGCCACGATTGAACATTTGCTGTTTCTAATTTTTACCTAGCGAGTTCCATGACGATAGTTAGTTTGAGAATATCGTGATTCGTGACTCATATACTTTTGTTTTCAGGGACCGTCCAGAAGGAGAAGTCCAAGAACTTCCCGGGACCACATTATTGATGATACGATAGGAATCAGGCGTAAGTACGATTGAGTTATACTTTCTACGTTTCGTGGTCTTTGAATTGTGCTTTGAGTTCATAGTTCCATCTTTTGTGGTCGATGGAGGATGACCTTATAAGTAAAGTTTCAGAATTATAGCGCATCGAATTTGGGCGCTGTGACTATCTCCTTCCATTCCGTTTTCAGTGAGCAGCTACATGAAGGACACAGACGACACCACCATCGCAGACACCGAGTCGTCTGCACCCCCGGCGCGGCGCAAAGGGAAGGAGCGCGGTGGCGGGCCCTCGCGACGCTCCAAGAAGAAACGGGAACGGGAGCGGGAGACGGAAGCCAGCACTGTGGATCTGGAGAGCAGGGACTCGAAGACCAAACGTGAGTAGACTGGATGGCATGACTAGGCCTAGCTGAATAATATGAGATACGGGATTCGGTCTTCAAAGCGTCTCAAGTTCTTGCGGTCATCCGCCGGTCCTTCGCCTTTTTAGATGAGTTTACCCTGCCTCATCTGTTCAAATCTCTCGTGCGGCCTCACCTGGAGTTCAGCAGTCTTGTTTGGGGTCCGTTCAATAGAGCTGATCAGAAGGCAGTCGAAAGGGTTCAAAGAAGAGCCACCCGGTTAGTGGTGAGCATCCGCCACCTTCCATATCCTGAAAGGCTGAAGAGACTGAAGCTCCCGTCACTGTACTATCGGCGTAGACGCATGGATATGATTCACGCATACAAGATGCTGCACGGCCACGTTGATACTGATCCTTCAGAGCTTCTGGCAACCAATCCTGAAAGGCGAACTCGGGGTCACACACTTAAACTACGGAAGCCTCGTGCAACCTGCCGTGCCAGACTGAATTCATTTTCTGTACGGTGTATTAACGATTGGAACGGACTTCCAGCAGAAATTGTACATTCGCCCTCAGTCAACGTCTTTAAGAACAGGCTGGATGCGCACTGGGAGTCGATCTGGTACTCCACTCCTGTAACAGACTGAGAACTAAGTGGAGTTATGGAAATCGGCGAGAACGGGCCCTACAGGACATCGTGCCTCTTGACCCGATCACACGAAGATTAAGATTAAGATTAAGAAACATATTCTCACTAGTCACTTGTATCAATGCGTCGAAGCAGTTTTGCTTTGGAGTTATTGATTGACTCATAGTTTCGCAAATCCTCGTTTTCGGTATTATAGGATATGGAATCTCTATAAGTTCTTTGATTTAGATAATCAGCTGGACAATGTTGATTGCTCACAGGTGCGGAGCGTGCCGAGCGGGACTCGGTCAGTCCCGACGACCAGCTGCACTACCGCCTGTCCGAGAGCGCCTTCCTCGAGGAGGGCGTCACCCTGCTGCCCTGGGACGGCTCGGACGGTGACGGCGGCGACCCATCTCAGCCGCAGCAGCAGATCATCACCCACCCTGTCGAGCTGTGAGTTATTGCAGAATGCAGCAAAATGCACGAGGTGATATTTGAGAGGATAGACATCGGATAGTGAAATAATTAGTTTTGGTTCGCCTTCAGTGTTGTTTGCTTAGGTCATCGAATGAAAAGTGAATGTTTCTGGCTTCCTGCAATAAGGTGTAATTGGACAGTTACTTGTGATTGGATACTTTAGGGCCTTTCTCTCGTTTTCAGTGGTCAGCGGCAGTTCCTCCAGGAGCGCTATCCAGACGGCAGTCTGTTCGTGACCTGGTTTGACGACGGCTCTGGACACGTCATGTACCCCAGCGGCGAGCCGGCCATCCTCATCACTGTGGAACCTGCAGGTGTGTATAGCACAGCATACGGGCTTACCTACTTACCCGCAACTACATAGTTGCGAGCGAACGAAGCGAGCGAAGTCTTACGTAGTATGGTGTAGAAAAGCGTCATATGTGAAGAACTATCATTTTACAGGAAGAGTCGAGCTCAAATGTCTGCAATATACACAGTTTTTGAATCGTTCACATGCTTGATGTCTTTTTAATGTATCCATGAGTGTCGCATGCAGTGCGTCACTTCGTTGTGTCGGGAGACATAAAAATGAAGCCGAATTTAATTGATGAATCCAAGGCCCTAAAAACATACAGTCGGTAGACACGTCACGTGGCTGCATTCAGTTCATGACCGGGAAATGAATGGACCGATAATTTTATAAACCAATTTGTTGATGAAGAAGGGATCGATTGATAACCACAGTGTTTGGCCGACCGCTCACACGCTGTTTTCCGTCTGACTGATAATGTCTGCCAACGAAATGCTCTGCGGCTGTTGTCTTTGGTGCTGTCACAGAACTATGCATATGTTGGAACAGGAAACGCAAGACAAACGGAAATTATGTGTCGAGAATTTCAGTGTAGTGCTGTAAATTGGACTCGGTTATACATATGCATCAATTTGAAAAAAAACATTCAGTTCCACACAAACCTTTTGACACTAAACACAAAAGGTACTATAATTTGCTTAATTTGAAACAACAAAAAAGCACCAGCCTACCATGTCTGGAGTCGGCTGACGGTGTTGCTGGTCCCCCGTCAGGTCGCCGGTTTGTGGTGCTGCCCGACCAGCCCTGCGCTGACCTGACCTCGCCAAACTGCGTGCTGGCCATGTTTGACCCCAAGGGCATTGGATTTGTCTACTCCAACAAAGGTGCCCCTAGGTGAGAACATATACTCAAACAAAGGTGCCCGAAGGTGAGAACGTACTCCAACAAAGCTGCCCTAAGGTGAGAACACGGCACATCGGAACGGCAGAAAAATAAGACTTCAGTGAGACGTTTTTAGACATACCTAAACGTGTGAAATAAAACTGCGCTGTATGGAGTGATGGAAAAGTTTGACTTGCAACTCTCTGAACATCGACATCCTCATCGATGCATCTTTATCACAAGTGTCAATTTCCTCTCTGTCCTCTTCTACCTCACTACTTTCCTCCATCCTCTCTCCCTCTCCCCTCAGACTGTTGCTGGACCAGCGGGAGGGCTGGTATCACCGCGATGACGGCACTGTGCGCCGGTGGCACTGGTCGGATCTGGACGATCACGTCCACCACTCACCCACGCTGCAGCCGGTCATCTTCGCCATTAGCAGACACGTCAGTACGGTGCACAGTGGGCTATAGCTCTAACCTTTAGGATTATGTATGTATTTCAAAATATTTTTTCATGAGTATCTGCGCTATTAGCTAATGCGTAAAATCATGAGCAATTTAAGCGGCATTTAGTTGATGGATATTGGTCGACTTCTGCTTAGCCGGCCACGTGTTTCGCTCGTGCTAAGCTTAAATCATGTTTGTTTTGTTGTAAGGTGTCTCCCAGTTACAAACTCCCTTCCACGTGGTTTGTTCATGCACAGCATGACATGAATGTTTTGTTGTTTGAGGTGTCCCAGAGACAATGACGTTCAGCATTGGTAATTGCGCTTCGTTTATTTGTCATGTGATATAATGGGACGTGGGCGTAAGGGTAGCAAGACCGACCGATGTCAATTATAGGACCGATTTCATTCCTTTGTAGATCTAATGAACGGGTTTGCATGTCCTAATAAGTAATAACTACTTGTGGTTGATCTATATAACGCTGCTTATGCATGAACCCAACGTTCCTAATCGATGAAATAAAATCAATGCTCATCAGTGTTAGATAAAATAGCGTGCCACCATGCCATAACTTCGAAAAGGAAAAGGAAGCCCGTGCTGTTCAATCAGCCTGTATCATGATCGAATGATCCGCGTGTGTTTACTCCCTCATGTGGGTTGACAAAGCAACAATGCGCAGACAATGCTCAACATTTCATTAAATTATTTGTTTTCGCTAGTTACTACCCCCCTCCCTTTTTACCAAACTTATTTCATTTGCTAGATCGGTGAAGATAAATAACGGGCCTAGAATCAGTTGACTAGCGTCGTTACCCCCATGACATTACCTAATCGCTTATTGCTGGATCCACCCCGTAACATGTCGATAGCGTGTTGATTTTCTCATAAGCGCATTCCCTTACGAGGCAATGTAATCCGTCTTTCACCAGGTGGCCATCCGTGTAATTCGACAAGACTACATCGTTCTCTCATTCTGGGCCAACCAGCGCAGCGCACGGTGAGGACTGAGGGTGGACGATGACCGATGGGATGCTAGAAACACGTTTTTTCTTTGTCAAAAGCTGACCGAGGTTGATGGCTCCAGTAAACTTGCACTGCTCAGTGCTTTTATAATGCGCTCGTCCACAACTTTCTTTTTAAAGGCTGGAAATTTGGGCTTTTCGGGCGTTAGTGCCTGCGCCTGTCAGGGGATGACTTCCAGCTGCTTTATTAAAACCCCGGTTCTTGCACGCTCACCTTTCTGAACCCGCTATTCAGCTATCAGGGATCGAAATTCGAATATGGATGATAAGCGGCTCCCCGTCCATCCCTACCGCCTATTTCCCCCTCTTGCCGGCAGGTTTAACGTCGGTGTGACTGCGGAGGCGGCGACGGTGACGCCGGTGCCGGGAACCGCGCCGCTGTCCCCGGACCAGTACCGACTCGTCTGCCAGGGCACCGATCAGATGGAACTGACTGAACTGAAGGGACGAGTGCGGCGCATCCTGGCAGAAATGGCCCGCATCACCGACGAGCCCGTCAAGTACCTGATTTATCATCAGAAACTGCTGCAGCGTGGTCTGAACGTGCCGCTAAGGTGAGAGGAAAGGAGGGAGAGAGGTTATAGTGGGTAAAGTTTGTAGAACAAGTGCTGGGTGGATAGACTGAAGAGCAGGTTGGGTCTGGCGCAGTTGTAGACTGTAAATGTCTCATAAACCTTTCTTTTGATCCATTTGATACATTTTCCGTCTTTTTCTCGTCTCTCTTATTTTGCGCTTCCACTCCTTAATTTCTTTTCTTTCCTTTCTTCTCTCTTGCTCTCGTCTCACACACGTCCCCTGCGTCCGCTCCAGGCGGCCAGTCCCGCAGTGGCTGACTGCCGAGCCGCGCCAGCCCCGGCTGCCTGGTGGTGTATCCGCCGCGCTGGGCCGTCGCTCGGCCGCGGCCGCCGCCGTCGGCAACTCTGCACGACGCGCCTTCCTCTTGCAGAAGATGGCACTTCTGTCACATTCCGAGATGACCTCTGCGGAGCGCCGCGCCGGTTCGGCGGCCAGCCAGGCCCGCTCGCCCAGCCTACAGACGCTGAGCCAGCCGGCCCCTCTGGCCACCATAGTGCCGCCGCCGGCCGAGGTCACGTGATCACAAGCAGATGCCGGTTTGTTTTGTATTTTGTTTTTATGTCCTGTCCTAATGGTTTCATTGAGTTTAATATTTTGTTGCCGTTTTGGTAATAAAAACCAGATTTATTGTGTGCTTACTGTGCGGTAACTGTTCTTGGCCTAGTTGCCCCTTATTTTAAATAACTATACCTCATTATTTATTCACTATATAATAGTTTTATTGATGTCTAACGAGTTTTCTGACTGGCCGAAGAGCGACTTTTTTCCTAATATATTTGTGATACTTCAGTAGGTACAGAGACAAGCTAGATATAATAAGTCTGGACAACTCCAACGAGCAAGGGGAAATGGATGTCGCTGACTGACTCCTCGTTGGACTTCGACAAACATACACGCATTGGCCTACGCAGTAGGCACTGAAAACGGATATGCCAGTTGGCGTATGGTAAGGTGAAATGTCAACCAATATCTAGCACCTTAAAATTGAGTATCGTTGACCTTCTCCCGTCATGGGCAACCCGCTCGTTTTTTTCTCAAAGCTCCAGCTCGAGATGAGGCCGAGAAGGAGAGGTCTGATCGACCCCTTCTGCCGTACATTATTTGCAGTTAGAATCAAAAGTCGCAAATGAAATGCAGTCGCTATTTCTCCTACGCTTTCTGAGCAACCGCGAAAAAAGAAGCCGGAGATCGGCTCGACCAGCGAAGGTTAAGTTATTGATGGTGTGAAAAGGGCATAAATGTGTCTATATAGTCTACCTAGTAAATATATCTGCAAATGCGCACACTTGTCGTCAGTCCTCAGCCATTACAAGAGCTATCTACAAATAGGCCACACATGTCTTTTAATCTTTGTAGCGGTGACTGCGACAAAAAAGTCACTTGGCTGTTGCTTTAAACTGCATGGTCTTTAAGTGTTTAATAAGTGTGGGTGCTGATTATACAAATATGGAGAGAGAGATCTGCTAGTCATCAGGGGTTTGCTTATTTATCTTACAAACATATTCGTAGATATCGTCCTTCTTCACGGACAGAAATTCACCGGTGTCAGGTTTCATCGACATGAACACCACATGGAGGTGTCGCTGTTCTTCGGCTCGCCATCGCTCAGAAAGTGACGGAAAGTAGAGTTGTTCCCGTCGGCCCAAGTCCAGACGTCTGTGTTCTTGTCAGCTCTGATGAGACCGATGTGTACCTGATTGTTGACATTGTCAGTGATGTAGTCTTTCTCATCAGCGTTTGTAACAGATACAATACGCGCTCCCTCGCGCAAATTGGCACACTCTTGGTCTGCCTTTCCTGCATCTTTCGTCACAGTAGAGAAGTGGTAACACCACCCGCCGTAGCCAATGGTCCAGCCTGCTTCAGCGTTGCAGTTGAATGGTGTCTGCGTGGTTGTTGTTTGTGCAGTGGTTGTTGTTTCGGTTGTCGTTGGCACCGCTGTGGTTGTTGGGTTAGATGTTGTTGTTGGTTCGGGTGTAGTCGTTGGAGGAACTGTAGTTGTTTCTGTCGTTGTCGTCGGAAGCAGTGTGGTCGTTGGACTGGTCGTTGTTGGATCAGGTGTTGTCGTTGGTTGAATGACAGTTGTAGTCGTTGGACCCGCCGCGGTAGTAGGCTCAGCTGTTGTCGGCCCAGCCGTGCTGGTGGGTACGGTCAGGGTGGTTGTCGGAGGTGCCATCGATGCCGCCGGCTGCTCTGTGGTTGAGACCGGCGCTGTCCTGGTGACTGTCGGTCCGGTGGTGGCCGCCGACTCCGTGGTGGTGGTCTGCAGGTCCAGGGCCAGTCCCTGCGGCGGCGAGGGGTCCCCTCCGTCCGCCGGCGGCCCGTACAGCCCACACTGGAGGTCCGTCTCGGTGAACTGGACGCCCGCGCACGCCGGCCGCCTCAGACAGAGCGCCCCGCAGACGAGCCGGCTGGGCGACCGGACGGCGGCCAGCGGGCTGCCCAGCGGCGCCGATCGGAACTGGTGCTGGGTCACCAGACCACCGCCGGTGTCCGACAGCCAGCCCAGCACCAGCACCAGCGACAGCTGCACCAGACGAGGAGCCGGCCGAGACATCGTCGGACGCCTCCCGACAGCCAGGCGCCCTCTCCTCAACCTCTACAGGCTGTCTGTTATATCCAACTTAGTTGACAGAGGAGGCTGGCATACAGATGCCACAGACAACTTCAGCTACTTATGGAGATCCAATTGATATAACAGTCATGAGAACAGGTCGACCAACGTTCAAAGGTCTCCACTGCTGATCCGTTCAGCTCACTTCCGCACGAGGTCTCGATGCTGCAAGCGGCTAACTGGTCACCGTTTGGCAGTGATTGTCTTCCTATGGCGGCGTGTAGGCCATTTGTCACCTATGGTGGTGGCGCGGTCCATATATCAGATCCAGGTTTCATGGTATTGTCATATTCAACTTTAGTGGCCAGGCGCAGTACCGTGCCGGCGAGGGGCCCCATTAGCCCATTGGTGCTGGTTGTCATACTGATTTTAGGACGCCAGTGGTATTTGCACGGATCGATGGATAATGGGCACGATCTAAGTAAGCATTATAGTCATTTTCGTAATTGCTTTTCGGATAATAACACTAGTTAACGACTGAAATGGTGTCTGGCTTGGACGATAAAACTACAAAATACTTTTATAGTTATTATGGTAGGTTTCCAAGATCATTACCGTGTCGATAGCCTCTTTCCAATGACTATAAGGACGTCTACCTGTTTTTGGTTTGGGGAGTCCCTGGCTCTGAAGTCCCATTATGTTCCGTCCCAACTTTTGTACTGTTCCATCCAATCACAAGGGTGGAATTTTCAAACGAAAAGAAAAGGATGAGCACACCCAGCCCAGACAAAACAGTGCAGTGTATTGCTTAGCCTCGATGTAAGTACCTACGTCCTACATACGTGGTGGAGCTTCTGATTTTGAATAACCGAAGATCTGATGTCAATAGTAAAATAGTAAAAACACTACCTGTTCGTTTAACTGCTTCCTTTAAGAATTTCTATCCCTGCCCATCTTCTCAAATATCGCAGCTTGTTCCATGTTGAGACGAAAGCGGTCTGATAGTCGATAGACTCGTGAGGCATCGGCTATTTTAGGTGAATCCCTGCTATGACGGGTGAGAGGAGAGACGAAAGACGCGTAGCTTTTCAAAACTTATAAATTTCCTGCTTTCTTGTCCACTTTCTGTTATGCTTGTCTGATCGACGATTGTGAAAATCGAAAAAAACATTGCTAAACATATTTCATCCACATTACATTTCACTAGGCATCTTTCTGCTGGTTCCGATTTAACCCTCACCGGCCGAGGGGGGTGCCGCCCCCCATAGAGTTTTTCTCGATAGCTCCAAACACACTGGTGATAGAGAGCTGAAACTTGGCATACCTGATCTTTGATTCAAGCCGGAGCTTTTGACATCAACCGCATTTTCGGGTCAGGTCAGGTCACTGATCTATGACGTCATAAGTGAACCTCTGCACGGTCTTCAGATGTCGCAACTTCGCAACGCCCTCACTGCCAGAGGAGCTTTCACAGAGAAATGAAACTTGCAGGATCTAGTATCCATTACGAGTCTCACAACTTGTATATCTCGGATTTTTCCTAAAGGTCATATGAACCATGAGGTCAGGTCATTTTCGTGACCTCACCATTATAAGTCAATGGGGAAAAATGAAAACTGCTATTCTGGCGCCGGGAACGATCTTCAACTATCTCAAGCACACAGAATCGTGATTTAATGAACTCCTTGCAAGGTTAGATGCGTCACTGTTGCAATATTGACCTTGCGTGACGTCATGTATGACGTTATTAAGGTCATATTCGTTTTTCGTCAATAACTCCCGATCAAATTGAGCTAGCAAGTCTCGAAAACCACCAATGGACTCAAGAAGACCTGCCGAATCGAATGATATGCGACATGACCTCTTTCGACCAACTTCGTGACCTGGGGGCGCTGACCTGACCGTGACCTGAGGTCAACACCCTAAGTTGACCTGACCCAAACAAAAAGTATATCATTCGACGCGCCTGAGCGAGGCAAACACGATGCTGCCAAAATCGCGGCTCTGCGACCGTTTTTTGCTAAGTTATTCACCAAAAACTGAACCTTACCTTAGGGCACTTGACCTGACCTCAGAGGTCACCGGTTGACCTAGGACCTTAAAATCGGGTACTAATCTCTGCGTCTTGTAACGGCGCACACGCTCGTATTTTCCGCGTTACGCGCTAGCTCCACCAGGGCTCAATCTCACCAAATGCTGTAAATATGAATTTACCGCATTCGGTAACATTCAAAACCATTCAGGATTCATTTGTTTTCTTTCAGGAGACATTTATGATCATTCACGCTATCAAAATAATTGGGCAAGATTAGCTTGAATGCAAATAAAGAGGCATCTTTGGCCAGTGCTGCCAAATCATTTCTACGGCACTGGTGAGATTGGGCCCAGGGGCGAAGCGGCGAGGGGGGTGTTGTACCCATCCCCTCGGCCGGCGCGTATGTAGAAAACCTATAGTTCCGGCGAGGGTTAAGTAAGTTAGGTAGGCTGTGCATCCGCGTACACAATTGTGATCATATTTGAGGTAAGGTGGACTGGTAATTAACCAAAGAACCCTATCGGCCTCACCAGAAAACATGCAATTATAAGCACTTTGTGAGACACGGGAGTATTGATCCGAATCGCAACTTGCGGCTGTCGAGCCGCAAAATATCACGGCCGGTGACTTATGATTGAGGTCGGCTGGCTCAAAACAACCTATTTGAAATGGGTAGATGGAGCTCCTAGCTCACTAGTTACATTGAAGTTCTCAGAGCTGTGTCGAGCGGGGTTCAGGTGAGACGTGTGCCTTCTGCTGCGCAACCTGTGTCCCACAGAAAGGAATTCTACACAAGCTTAGATGTGGAGCAACTGGAATCTGCAATTATGCTTTATTATTGTTATTTGGTAGGTCACTGGTCAAAAGTAAGATGCATTCTCAAATCTTATGGATATATCGAGTAGCTTTCCTGTGATCTATTTATATATAAAAATAAAATAATAAGATACAACACTTCCCATCTTGACTCAGGCGTGACGAGAATCCAAGAGTAATGTCTCGGTCGGCTCCTCGTCTGGTGCAGCTGTCGCTGGTGCTG